ACTCCCTTAGAGAACCAGACAGGGAAGGACTCACAGTGTGAACCAACACACCCCTTCACACCCAGCTCCCCCAACACAGTGCTCTACCCAAAGGGGTGAGGACAGCAGAACTTCTCCACTGCCTTGACAGGGATTTCTAGAGACCATTCTAGTCCTGTAGATGTTTGTGTAGTGTTTCAAAGCCAAGGTGGACCTGTCCTCCTGGACAAGGTAAAACACAGAAGGGGGATGCCCACCCCACAGTATCTGTATCCCAGCAATGCAGAAGCTGTTTCCAAGTAGCAGGAGACCAAAAGACCACAGCAGCACATGGCTCAGCAAGCTTCATTGGGAACCAGGAGGGGGAGCACACAGAAGCCTCTCAGTCAGGATGGAGAGTCACTGTCCAACTCAGACTCCACTGCTGGGGGCAGCTCCTCTCTGTACCAGGAATGCTCTGTCACACTCCCGTGTTGATATGTGTTCCTTTGCTCAGTCACCCACCTTGTACGTGACATTCTCAGCTGTACATCTGTTTATTCACAGCATACAAAATAGGCTCTTTTCCCTCAAGAGGTTGTAAGGTTACATGGGTTCACACAGGATTATATAAGGTTTGTACCTAATGTCACAACTGCAGACTGGGTGCTGTGAACACAGCTAAAGTTAGAGCTGACTGGAAACTTGCTACATACAAACCAACTTTTCCATAAATAAGTATTCACCAAAAAGGCTCTATGTGCCAATTTTAAAAGCTTTAGGAGGCTTTTTTCCTCCCTCCTTCTGCTCTGAACTCCCTATAGTATCTTGAGAAAAAGGTTATACTTTGGATTAGGATTCTGACCCTGCTGCTTGGCAAAGATCAATTGAAGCAAACAAAAGGCAAGCTGGAAAAAATAATCTGGAAATAAAAACATGGAAGCAAATCCGTGTCCTGAGAGCCATTCCTGGTGCCAAGGACTGACTTGCATTGTGCTAGTGCTTTTCCAAGAGCCCTGATGTGACACTTGCATTCCAGCCCCATCACTGGCAGGGGCACTGGCAGAGAACAGGGCTGCACTGTCATCTGCCCAGCACGTCTTCGTGTGCTGAACAACCGCACATTGAGAGCGGGAAGATGCCTGCCAGCTTCCCAACGCCCTGGGGAAGCAGGAAGAACTCAGTTTATTCATCTAAATCAATTCCTTCTTTATTGAGAAAAATACCTTCCATTTCAATTACTGAAGATATTGAAAGGAAAACCTTTTATTTTAATTCCCTGGAAGTTAACTAAGAAAAAAACCCCCCAAAACAAACCAACCAAAGAAAACCGCTATTACCACACTAGGTCTGAGCTTGCCTGTTCTTGCTCACATGAAGAGCAGTGGAGCACTGGTAACCTGGTAGCCAGCTCAGAAGAGACACTGCAGAAGTATTATGCACAGATGACAGCCAGCTTCCTTTAGCATGGTAACTTTCTCTTCCTCACAATGACTTGATTATTTTCAGCTCAAAATAGATAGCACATTCTTAATTCCCAAGAACATACTGTGACAGCCAGCAGTTTCCTGCAGAGAACTGGCCTTGTGAGTGTATCGAAGGGAACGGGCTGACATTTAAGTGTTTTGAAGCCATTCCTTTTCATCTGCATTGCACAACTGGCTGCACCCCTTCTAAAGCATTTTAGCACTTAGACCTCAGCCTGTGAAGACTCAGGCAGAAGGTCAGCTTTATACATTGCCAGCTGTCCCACTGAAGTCAGGGGGACAATTCATGATCCTAACCTCAGTACCTCTATAAATCTACTTAGACTAGAGCCTTTATTTGGACACTGAAATACTGAGCAGTACCCAACAGCATATAAAAAAATATACATCAGTCTAAATGTGTGCAAAATGCTGCTGGAACAGGCTCATTCTTTCACTCAGAAGCACCTATTATGAGCGGTGTCAATCTCCACAAAAGGGACAGGAATCAAAGCTCAGTAAATGAAATGGCCGAGGCAGGCAAATCCCTTAAAAACAATTTTTATTAGAGATCTTTGACATCTTGTGATTATTTCCTGACAACAGGCTGGTAGCCTGCAGACTAATCAGATTGAAAGTCTCGACAAATGATAACACAGAAACCATTTGAAGCTGGAGGACATTTTGTTCTTCAGATTAGCCTTCCCAAGAGGCCCAAACAAATTACAGTTCATGATGAAAGCTCTTAACACACTGACAGCCCTCTTTAGAAAGAGGAAGCTATATACACACTCATCACCCAATCTCATTGCAAAGAACAGAACTTCATACTCTAGACAGCTACAACATACATACCTTTGGTATCATCCTATTCCAACTCTGAAGAACTTTCCTTTCACTTCATTCCAAGAGAACAAACCCACACCAGGTATCAGATTTAAGCACAAGCTTAGCAGCTGACAAGTAATATCAAAAAACCACCTAGTACTCACAGTAGCTACAGCCAGAGTGGCATCAGCTGCACACCAAGACATTAATGAAATTCAGCTGCTTTCTTCATAAGGAATTTTACTAACCCAAACACTTTTACACACCAGAGAGTAAATTCCTTCCCTACAGACAGGCATATCATACTTCCCAGGTGCCAGCAATACTATTCATGCTGCATTTTAACATGAAACATTGAAATTCTGGAAAGCTTCACAAAAAGGAGTTAGCTATACCTACCTTCAATGGGTAGCGATATCCTATCCAGGATGAAAACTCCTGACTTATAGGCTGTGTTGGACCTGTGAGCATTAATTGCCCTCTACATAGTTTCAAGAAGACAGGTTCCATATTTTGATCAAGCAAGATTACATTACAAAACTAGAACTATTCACCATTAGCACCTTCAAACCCATGCTTCACTGAGGTTTTGAAATGTCTCCAAAAAGAATGTGGAAGGGACTGGAACACCATTCATACTGAGGAGCAATTGTTCAAGATGGATTTGTATCATAGAATATACTCCTGCTGCTCTGATCAAACTTAAAGCTCAAGTTTCTTACAGCTTACGGCAGGCAAATTAAAAACAAATGAGAAATTTGTACAAAACAAGGACAAGGAAGTATTCCAAAACCACGGTGACCATCTTGAGGAATCTGGGCATCAGTAAAAGAAGACAGCTAAAAAGCAGAGGAAGCAATGGTTGCTTCTTAAATCTATTTCATCTTTTGCACCTGCCAAGAACAGAGCAGGTCATTTCTCAAAATCTAGTTTTGGAGAAAGCACAACACCAAAGCTAGAAACAGTCCAAACACAGTTGCTACCACTCAGTCTAAACGTTTACACTGCTTTCAATGAGGAAAGCTTGAAATCCATTCCACTTTAAGCAAAATGAGCACTAAAAAGGAAAAGGCGACTGCCTCAGCAAGACTGTTCCTTCAGGGACACACTGTAATGTCAGACACTAAGCAGAGTAAATGTCAGAATGCTGATTTAACATACGCTGCATGATCAAACAGAGGATGTTCTCTTCTTCTGGAGAAGAGAAGGCTTAGGGGAGATCTTATAGCGGCCTTCCAATACCTGAAGGGGGCCTACAAGAAAGCTGGGGAAGAACTTTTCGTTAGGGCAGTTAATGACAGAACTAGGGGGAATGGCTTTAAACTGGAAGAGGGCAGGTTTAGATTAGATATTAGGAAGAAGTTCTTTAGTGTGAGGGTGGTGAGACACTGGAACAGGTTGCCCAGGGAGGTTGTGGATGCCCCCTCCCTGGAAGTGTTGAAGACCAGGGTGGATGAGGCTTTGAGTAACCTGATCTAGTGTAAGGTGTCCCTGCTGATGGCAGGGGGATTGGAACTGGATGATCTTTAAGGTCCCTTCCAACCCAAACCATTCTATGATTCTATGTTGAGAAATCCATAGGAACACAATAATACACCACCTAATCCTACTGTTTTCATCATGCTTACAACTTTTAAGTTCAGGGGCCCTGCACATTTATTGTTACATTTAAGATGTCCTTTTTAAGACAAAACCAAGCAAAAACATGAAAGAAAGACAGGAGGAAAACGTTTCATGCCATGCAAAATTTCAGTAGTGTGAAGTCTTTTAAAAAAGATCAGTCACTGTATTTTTTTTGTGATCAGTGTATGAAATACAGACTGCACTGAAGATTAGATAAGATTAAATTCTTGACTCTGAAATAATATTCTAAAAACTCACCTGTTCCTTTCATTCAGAGATTCACTTTGGTCACTGAAGGGTGCAAAATCAAACACTTCTAAAAATGTTCTGAAAACTTGCATCAAGATCTGAATTAATATCTAACATATTGATCCATATACACTGTAATCTAAGTATGAATAATTATCTGCTGCAAGAGAAAAGAATCCTAAAATTATTTTCTTTATACACAGTATAAAGAAAATAATTAAACTCGATTTTTAAATCCAAGCATTCTCATGATCCAGGGCCAGAACATTTCTCTGCTTAAAATATCAAGATAAAATGACTACTTTTTATTCCTTTGCTTCCCAGATTAAAGCTCAGTATTGACAGTAGCTGAATATCTCTCTTGAAACAGAGGAAGACACACACTCTTCCTAATGCAACTGGCAAATGAGACTCAGATTATTCAGAAAAACCAACCATGTTAGATAATCCTATATTGTGTGATGAACAAAACTTTTGTAGGCAGCAATATGCCCTGCCATGTATCTTTATAGAATATCCAAGAGTAACAGTGAATGATTTAATAAAAAAACATTCTCCGAGAGGGCTCAGAACGCAGCAATATCTACTTTCAAAGAACATCCAAGAGAGAGCTTTTGTTATTATTTTATTGAATGAGCACATCAGCAAGTAAAATTTTAAGAAAAATCTACACACAGCTTCCTAGAAATAACAGTCCACAATTCCCTCCTTAGTTATCATTAACCATCTGGTTTTTATATTCCCCAAACAGCTTATACACGTTTTTTCCCCCCATCTGCAATTTTCCTGTTTTGATTATTTTAATAAATAATGGACACCGCAGGTGATCCTAGAGAAAAATCTGCATCTCAGCACTGCACAGCTGGACAACTAAGTTCACTGGATGTCATCATCATCAAAGAGATCTTCAAAATCTAGTCAGAAAAATAAGACAAGGTAAAATTAACTGTTACATATGCACATACTCCACAAGTACAGTATTTAACTATTTTGATTAAATACAGAAATTAAGATTAACTAAGTGATTGAGAGTTACTGTACCATCAGTAACTAGTAGTGTAATATCAGGGTAGGAAGAGACAGAGAGGAAAGAAAGGCAGACCCAAGTATACATTCTCTACCATACACAAACTGCTTCACCTGTACAATGCAAGCTTTGCAATCAAATTCATTACAGCAAAGTAAAACTTCAAAGGAGGGGCTTTTAATGCATTAAGTAGCCATCACATTCAGAGTGGATCAACCATGATTCCCAGGCTCCAGAACTAAACAAGTACTAGCTTTATGCATGCAGCAATTCTCTGACGTAGGCACTCCTGCAGAATTCTGGCTTTAGGTCAGAGTATCCAGGAATATGCTTATAAATTTTGCAGACTGATATTTGCATTTGTGATTTCCTGTTAAAAACTCCTTCCTTAAAAAACGTTTCATTGCTGTGAAGGTGCTAATAACATTTCTCTCTCAGAAAACTCATCTCACTCAGACTTGTGACACATGGCTGGCTAATCACAGCTGTTCCAGTCATCTTTGGGAAGTACTCTTAACTACTCGGCTTTGCATCTTCTTTGTATATTGAGCATAAACTAACAACATAACTGAAACCAAGTCTTTATTTTTACAGAAGGAATGTACAAGTGCCATAAAATAAACTGAGGATTAATCCTCATTTAGAAGAGTCCTAAACCACCAATGGAATATAATACCACAACCTAAGGGTAGGACTTTATGGAAATATTTACTTCCGAATACATTGTCTCCAACTGACAGCTAGGTCCCTCACAACTGTTGAGAGTATATCAAAGCTGACCTTCCTTTTTCTCCTGTATTCTAAGTCTTGAGCAACATGAGAAACCTACTTTCTTTTAAAAATTAACACCAGTTTGTGACATCAACACCACAGCAAACAGATATAATAATGTATCCACAATTCACTGCTGAGTTGTCTAAACAGACTTCTTAAGAAGGATAAAAAACCCACCTGAGTAACCACATGTAAGGTGGTGTGTATTCTACCTGTAAATGGCCAGATACACAGCTGTTCTCCTCTCTAACAGCAGCCATATATATTCATATGCATACAGCTGACTTTCAAATGCAGAAAGCATATTAAAACAATTTTTATTTTGCTTTGGGTACATAAGCATGCATACTTTAAGAAATTAATCCATAAATAGGAACACCCAGAGATAATTTTGTAAAGTTCTGTCCACGTTTTTATATGTATTTGCATTGTTTAACATAAGCTATTTGTTACGCAAACAGATCAAGGCATCTTTCCTTGTAGCGACTGACATGCTAAATCGCCTAAAACCTCCAGGAGAGGAGAAGTTACAAGGCATTGCATCCCTCCCACCTGCATCAGTTACCGCTGAGGGGCTCTTATGATGGTGCTCACTAGAAGCAGGGCGAGAACTTCAGCGACTACCAGGCCCCACAGACACGAGATCACAAACAAAGCGAGGTTTGTTTTGATCACCCTCAGCTCCTAACGCTGTTGCCCGGCAGGCCCAAGGCGTTACCACCCCCGCGGGGGGCAGGCAGGCGCCGCGGTGACCCTGCTCCCCCCAGCCCGGAGCGCGGCGGCCCTTACCGTTAAAGAAGTCGGCGTGCACCGCTTTCTCGTTGGCGGCCAGGTCCATCAGCAGCCCCGTGCTTCCCCCTGCCTGGGAAAGCAGGCGCTGAGCGCCTCCGGGCCGCGGCCGGGCAGCACGGCCCCGCCACCCCCACAGGCAGCTCCCTCAGCACCCCCTCACCTCGTCGAGGTCCACGTAAGGGCCGGCTCCCTCGGGGAACATCTCATCCACCGCC